CCCTGGTGTGACAACAGCCTGAGATATGGGAGCAGACTGAGATGTCTCATGGTACAGAGTCCCTTCCCAGAATAAAAGGATTTAGTAAGGATTACAGGTATCTATCTTGTGTAAGTGGACCTGCTTCGATTTTTAAATGGTAGATTTCCACTGCCACCTTCAATATGGAAAGGAAGGGAAATACGTAAGGCTGCATTGACACCTTCTAGGAACCAGCCTGGCTTACGTCCCAACATGAGGCTGTGGCAGGAGGCAGACTTCACAAGAGTGACTGGTTGGATGGGATGGGTAGAGGGAAAGAAAGTGGATCAGGCTGGCTTATGCCTACCTTCCCGAAATTGGAGAAGGACCTGGTAGGTTTTCAGTACTCAAAGCTCACTCCTTCCTACAAGGCATGACATATCTGAAGCCTATATTTTCCAGACCTTATCCTTTCATCTGGGGAGTAACAGATATGTATGTAAGATTACACATATACATACCCTCTTTCCCCCAAAATAAGCCCTATCCTGAAAATAAGCCCTAGTATGATTTTTCAGGATGGTCGTAATATAAGCCCTACCCCCAAAAGTAAGCCCCAGTTAAGTGAAACCCTGCCCTCCACCCTTGTGCAGCAACCAGAAGATGGCATGACTGTAAAATAAAACATCCCCTGAAAATAAGTCCCAAAGTGTTTTTTTTGGAGCAAAAATTAATATAAGACTCTGTCTTATTTTCAGGGAAACACAGTATGCTTGGGGGCGGAGGAGAACACGCAAAGCATATGTGTCTTTTTTGGGGTGGCTGGCTGCAGGGAATAAAGTCTTAACATACCTGATCCTTTGCGTACCAGGATCAGAATCTTAGGAATCTGAAGATTCATTTGTAGTAGATCCACTGACTCAGTGGGAATTACGTAAATGCTGACTCAATATTCAGTAATTGATTCTGCAGGTCTGCTTAGGCTAAGACCAGTGACTGGATTTAAGATCCACTCTGCCGACTTGTGTTCATTGTTAGAACGTTTTAAAACAAATGATTATTAAATTCCCACCCTCCCTTTCTATCTAATAAACATCAGGATATTTGTACTGATCTATTTGTACACATAAATCCTCTTGAGTTATTTTGCAACCAGAAAAAAAAACCCATTTGAAACACTGATACTTACAGAGGAACTGACTTTCCAAACCTTCATTGATTCGATGGGACTACTCTAGTGTGACTTACTACACTATGGAATAGGGTTTTTGCCACAGTGTCTTCCAGAATGAAAACAATTTCTTTATGACACAAAAATATCAAATCTCTTTCTTCAGTTTTATCTTTCCAGCATGTCTTTCTGAACATAAACAGCACACGTTTACCGACATTTCACAGTTCATCATCTGATGAAGTGAATGTTTTATCATGAAGTAGCTCTACTTTACAACCATGACATGAGGAAAAATAGCTTCGTCTATGCTATCTCCCACACCCATACACACACCTCTCCCCGAATGGAGAGGAACTGAGTGTGGCAATTCTGAACAGCATGTGTATCTCCCACCGTTTTTGATCTGATGATAAAGAGGGGAATCAAGAATTGTAAGGGTCATGAAACTTCATATCTCTTCCCCAACCTCCTAGCAAAGTATGTTGTGCAATATCACACAGCTTTTTGATCTGATGATAAAGAGGGGAATCAGGAATTGCAAGGGACATGAAACTTCATATCTCTTCCCCCAACCTCCTAGCAAAGTGTGTTGTGCAATATCACACAGTTCCCCAACCCTCAGTCAACAACACCCATTAAGGTGAAGCAAAGCAGACAGACATGGTGTTACATCAGATGCTACCAGGAGGAGAGGAAAATGGAGCAGTGGCAGTTTTATGTTTCTTGAAATCCTTACATTTGTAGTAAGTACCATTAATAGGTATGGTCAGTATCCTGTTGCATTATGAGATTGCAGAAGGGTAATTGCATCAGCATTCCCCTATTGTGACATGTTTTCTGCTGTGTGCCTAGGTTTGAACTGGTTGCAAGATTGGTTCATGACCAGTTGTGTGAACAGTCATGCAACCAGGGTCCGCAACTTCCCTTATGCTCTGGAAAGGAGAGTAGGGCAGTGAGGATTTCAACTTTATTAGAACTAATGATTTATGCTAACAAATTTCCAGAGTGACAGGTAAGAAAAGCCAGAAAGCAAGCAAGCAAGCAAGAATCCTTTATCCTTGTGTGTTTGATGCAATATTCCCTAATACTGGTCTCTCTCCAATTTTGCTGGGTTTCATAAGCATTCTTTCACCACTATATGACAGTCCTTTGGGTTCCCCAACAGATGCAAGGATCATGGAAAGAGTATCATCAAAAATAGCTGTGGAACTATATTTATAGCATAATATGACAACTCATGGCATCCCTTTTAGCACAGGGTCTATTCATCAATCAGTTTGAATATTTTTCTCACCATTCATTCTCCAAGCCTAATGTGCCAACATATTGGCAATAAATGAAGGAACTGCTGATACTGAAAGAGCATATTGCTTGTTTTCTTTCATCTCACTGATGTGTTTAGCACAAATACTAGAAATAAAACACAACTGACAGTTTCACATCTTTGGTAAAAAGTGATTTTCAACCAACTTGAAAATAGAGTACAGATACAAAGAATTTGTGTTGTATTGTGCGATATGCTACTAACGCAATGAAAGCTTTTTGATAAATCTTTTAAAAATCCTAACAATTTCCTATAGCACTATAGGGTACAAGCACTTTCTGATTTTGGTCGATGTACAGAAACAAACAAGAACCAGGCCATGAAATACTGCAATTGAAAATATACATTGGTTCTTTTGCCATCATAGGTCTAGTAGCTATGGATTGCTTTGAATTAATGACATTTATGCTTCAGGTTTATTACAGAGGCCAAAATCCTTTTATAAAGCTACACAACTTGTCTAAGTAAATTGCTCTAAATTAAGAAATCATTTTAGATATTATCAGTTGCACACAAATTCATACAACTCACTATATAAAAAATAATATCTATGGTGATTTCTTACTCATGGCAATATGCCTCCAAAAGATACGCCATTTGTGTTACACCAGTGTAGCTAGGCAAGAGGATATGGGCTGCAACATACTTTATCTCATTCAACAAGACATATTTTAAATCATTTTCATTACTTCTGCTTTCTTGTTTTCAAAAAACTAATTTGTTTAAAATCCTAACAGTTTCCTAGAGGACTAGAGGGTACAATCACTTTCTGATTTTTGGTGGATATACTACCTTAATAAGCTGTAAACAAGGGTTGAGGTGGCAATTTCCTTCGTTCCTTTGGTATATATGTGCCCTAGCATACCAGTGCTAGCAACCAAGCTGTTTTTTTTAAAGAAGTAGCATTATTCTGACCAGATGAGACTGACAGAGAGTAAAGTCCACGCACAATCCCTTTTTAAAATTTCTTTGGCATCAGTTCAAATGATCACACTTGCTGAACTGATACTAATGGATCTGTTTCTTTAAAAAGTAGAAACCCCAATGGTGGAAGAGGAAAAAATGATGGATTTGGGAGGGGACTGATTTGCATTTGCTTTTACATCATGGGAAAAATGCAAATCAGACCATCCCAATCCCATAACACTTCCCACATTATAAGTCAATGTATTCACAGCTTCAGTTAGTACTAAAATTTTCTTCCTCTTCAGTTAATCATCAAAAGTGCACTACAGCAGCTGCCTTTCTCCCTTGTATTCCCTTGTTGTCCTACCTACTAAGCCTCCTTCAAATTTCTGGCTGCTCCCCTTTGTTTCCATTTCAGGAATTATTTCCTTTTTCTAAAGCACTGCATTCTTCATATGTATTTTTTTAAAAAGCTCACCAAGAAATATATTGTGGCACCATAAAGACTAAAGGATTTACAGTATTTCAGTGTGAGGTTTCTGGATTATAATCCAATTCCCCAGACATATGCAGGAAAAGGTATGAGTAAACTAAATGATTTTACTTCTTAAGATTTTTTTCCCAGCTAGTGCCAATTTCACCCAATCCTACTCTTCTTTTCTCTCTTAAGATTATGAACCTGCAGGTGAGGACACATTTTTATTTTGTACAGTTCTTAGTTATTTTATAACTACATATGATAAAGACATTCAGTCACTAAGTTAGAAGTAGGGGAGGTGGGTTATAACTATAAAAGTTCATACTGAAATAATTCGGTTTCCCTTTAAAATGATGCAATGTTTATGTATTTATACCTTTTCTGTTATTTTTATATATTCTGCAAAAAAAAGTCACTTCTCTGAAGAATGAAAGTGAGGGAGTAGCTAGTTAAGGGAACAGCAATGTACAGTGGTGCCTCGCTTAACGAGCGCACCGTATAACGACGAAATCGCATAGCGATCCATTTTTTTGGATCGCTAATGCGATCGCTCAACGAGCTTTAGATAGGGAGAAATTCGCTTTGCGAAGATCGGTACGCGTTTCGCTTACCGATCTTCACAAAACAAAGCTCCGACGATCAGCTGTTTGGCGGACAAAATGGCCGCCGGAAGCCCCAAAATGGCCACGCGCAGCGTTTTCGCGCCCTCCCCTCGCTTAACGAGGGCGCGAAAATGGCTACCGGCCATAGGAAACCTCGCTGAACGGTGAGTAAAGGAGCCTTTTGGAACGCATTAAACGATGTTTAATGCGTTCCAATGGCTTTCCCTGTCCCGTTCAGCGATGTTTCGCTATAGCGAAGGTTAATCCGGAACGGATTAACCTCGCTATGCGAGGCACCACTGTAGTTCCAAACAAAAAGAAATCAAGATTCTAACAATAGTAGTCATATGATCCGACAAGTGACCAATAAAGATGACTGTGGAAACATTATTATAGGCTGCAACATGAGACAAAAAGCATTAGAATTATTATTGGAACAGGTTTTTAGTGCCACAGCTTAATAAGCATTTTTGCACAATACTAATATTGTTGTTAGATTTTAAAAAGACATTTTGCAACTCGCTTGCGGAATAGAACAAAACACTGTTGTGTTACCTTAAATTTGTCAACTTCAGCCTTAGAACATGTTGCGTGGTAAGACAGCACCTGACCCAGAACAAATTGGGGTGGGGAGGAAATGGTCACAGGTGAGAAGCTGAAATGATACAGTCACTTCAAGCTGTAAATGGAATTACCATTGAAATGGTTTATTAACAAATGTGCAGCATAACACAAAATATATGTCCATTGTCAGTAAATTTCTCAGCTCTTATTTGTTTGTTTGTTTGTTTATTGTATTTATATCCTGCCTATCTGGTCAATCGACCACTCTGGGCGGCTAACAACAGATAAAGATAAAACAATTTAAAATATAACAATAATATACAGCACTTACCTCTTAGAGAACACTATGGCACATACATGGGGTAAATAATATAATTTTGCAGACAATGTTATCCTTCCAAGATAGTTCTTTTATAGACAAGGAAACATATGATAAATCCCCACGGATTTTAAAATAACACTGGCTTGTCTTAAACATAGTTTCTATAGTTTGTCACCTTCATTTTTCTATTTTTTTCCATTTTGTCCACTGAAAATGGTACATAAGAAGTCGAACATTCCAAGAAATACTGCCTAAGTGCGTCAAGATACAGAGGTTCTTATTGTGTACTGGAGAGGGGCCATTGTGGCTTCTGGTAGTCAGTGGTGGACTACAATTATGACCGTTCCTCACAACAGAGTTGGCTTGGGCTGACAAGAGTTGTGGTAGCACCTTGCCAACCCCTATTGTATGTCCTCATTAAAGACAGTTTGACAGTACATGCCTATGCATATCTCCTCTACAGTCCCACCTTCTTCAGGTGCAGTTCCTCCTGGGTAGATACACACACATGCTTACCCCAGGTTGACAAAAGTACAACAAATGTACACTCCTATGAACAACCTTCCTGCCAAACTCATAACACTGAGAAGAATCGCCGGAAGTCTCTCTCTTGGATAATGCTTCAGCTACAGTAGGAGTGCCTTCCCAATCTACATTCTTATGAATAAAAATGTATCCAGATTAGCGGGAAAAATCAGATCTCAAGTGTGCTTCTTGTTTCTGTCTTTAATGAATTATAGCCAGGATGTTCACAACATTCTTATTTTAATAAAAGCCAAATCTCTTAACCCTACTCATTAAAAAAACAACAACGGATCTCCAGTATTTATGAGGCGCCATTTCATGGGTACCAACCTGCCTGAGGAATGAGCCCCCCCGCCCCAAAAGTCTCATCCAGCCCTCACATTGTGATCTTTTCAGCACCAGGATTCTTATTTTTGCAGGCCTTTACAAATCTTAGTTTTCAAATTTTAAACCTGTTCAGTGTATTTCTTGGCACTGCTAGTTTGTCATGCTAGTTTTGCTCTGCTTTATTCTGTAGTTTTTATAGGCATGTTTTATTGTCAATTTTAAATGGAAAGTGACCTTACCCATTCCGCTGTACAATCACATCACAAACTTTCAGAACATCTCCAAGTGCTTGTACCCTCTGTTTTGGGGGATTCCAAGCCTTACTAACATGTACGCTGTAAAGGGGACATTATTATGGGGATACTGCAAATCTTGTTTTGTTGTTCTGGCCATCAGGAATTTTGAGACTAAAAGAAAAACCCAAAAAGATGGGACCAAATTTCTGTCATGGGGGGGGAGGTGACATCGGGCAACAAAGGGAAGTAGAAATACGCACACTTTATTCCTGTGGTGGGAAGAGGGTTGGCAGTGACCCTTTCTCCCTTCTCTAGCAACATAATCCCAAATCTTCAACTAGTAGTAGTGGATTTGCTGCAATACTCACGTCAAGAGCCACAGACTGCTTTGCCCAGGATTTATTCACTTGGTCATACATTATGGTATTGTTGATGCCCAAACCACAGAAGATAACAAATGCCTAAAATAAAAATAAATTCTGGAAAAGTTAATGTTCACATACCACTTGCAGAAATCAACCATAGTTTACTTGGTAAAAGGTTACTGAATAGCCTTCTGCCCTAGGAATCTGAGCCTACAAATGAATGTTAAACATGGAGCGCAATCACCATGACACCAACACAACATACCATCGTGCAGCCTGTGGAATTCTGCCACTATTGTGAGGCAGCCCAATATTAAAACACTGATGTACCATGATACAGAAAAACAGTTAGAATTAGTAAAAGCAGTGCTGCTGCAGCATGAGAGACTATAATGCAAAACCACACTCATACAAGATTACAGATCTAGCAAATCTCACAACTGCTGCCTAATCACATGGAATCTTGCAGCCACCCCTTCCTGGCTCATAAATGTGGAGAGACAGGGCAGAATGGAGCTGTAGTCTTCTGGGTCACCTGGATAATTCTGGGGGAGGGGAGAACTGAAGCCAACGCATTAGGAAATAAATTCTGGAAAAGTTAATGTTCACATACCACTTGCAGAAATCAACCATAGTTTACTTGGTAAAAGGTTACTGAATAGCCTTCTGCCCTAGGAATCTGAGCCTACAAATGAATGTTAAACATGGAGCGCAATCACCATGACACCAACACAACATACCATCGTGCAGCCTGTGGAATTCTGCCACTATTGTGAGGCAGCCCAATATTAAAACGCTTGATGTGCCATGATACAGAAAAACAGTTAGAATTAGTAAAAGCAGTACTGCTGCAGCATGAGAGACTGTAATGCAAAACCACACTCACACAAGATTACGGATCACAACTGCTGCCTAATCACATGGAATCTTGCAGCCACCCCTTCCTGGCTCATAAATGTGGAGAGACAGGCCAGAATGGAGCTGTAGTCTTCTAGGTAACCTGGATAATTCTGGGGGAGGGGGGAACTGAAGCCAATGCATTAGAAGTCACAACACTTGAGCTTTCTATTAGTTTAGCAAGCAAAATTTGCAGTAAGTGTTTTTCTAATATGATGTCTGTTACCATTCCTGTATTCCTGTGTACGCTAGCAGAAGTGCTTGGTTAATTCACATACAGTTCTTTCCCAGTAACTACAGAATCAAGAAATGGAACGGATTAACCTCGCTGTGCGAGGCACCACTGTATTCCTGTATTCCTGTGTATGCTGGCAGAACTGCTTGGTTAATCCACATACGATTCTTTTCCAGTAACTACAGAATCAAGAAATGGGCTCTAAATGTATTTTCTACTACATTTTTAGCACCTCTGACCTCATTCATTGCTGAAAATCTATTTTGCAACATAACTCAGACTACTTCGGTACAACCCACAATACCACTTCCTCCAATGTTTTCACCTATTTCCAGCCCCATGTCCAGTTTTCCCACTCTGCATCCCCTTTAGCTATCCTGTCCCCAACTTTCAGGCAGTGTTTTTATAAAACAAAGTGGGCTAACTCCGGTGTTGGGTCCTGGGGGTGGGTGGGAAATCTGGTTTTTCAAAAGTGTTTTTAAAGGAAGCGGTAAAAAAAATGGAATGGAAATGCGCTGGGCAGCCACATGCTCACTTTAATCGGAGACTTGCTGGGCAAACCGTAAACTGTTAACTGCGGGTAACAGACAAGGTGGGCAGGAGGCAATATTTTCCTGCAACAATAGCTATAATTGAACATTTTTTTAAAAAAACGCTTTTTATAATGCCACATGAAGCAATTAAAGTGGACTGTGGGTTTTCTTTTTATTCCAGGCAGTGAACTATCTTGGGCCAGCTCTTACCTCCAGACATCATTAAAATGATAGTTCAGAAAACACCCCCTTGCATGCCTTTCCTACAGTCTCCCGTCTCCTTCAACATGGGGGCTTAAGGTCACAAACACAGGCAGCCAAGGAACCTCCAAACGTCCATTGGCAAGGGTGTTTCTTCTGCAGACAGAGTTCCATTCACAGGATCGCAATATCCATGCCAACGTGTCTGGAAGAGCATGTTGTTGGAAGTTTTGTCTGCAACCTTGCACGGTATCTGTAGTTTGTATAACTGGAAGGGCGTTTCCTTGGCTGAGGTGATTGCCTATCTAGCCAGCACTAACCAATTGTTCCCGCTGGCCTTTGATTTCAAAGACAGACCCCACCTCTCTGCTGAGTCCTTTCCCCCTCTCTTTTGTGGGTTACTGGTGGTTGTCTGCTGTTATCTGTTCAGCTGGTTGCTAAGGATGTGTGCACAAAGAAAGTGATATAAAATGTTTAATTTCAAGCAACTGTAAGTAATGTTTTTTATTATCCCTCCTATTTATTTATTTATTTATTTATTTATTTATTTATTCATTCATTCATTCATTCATTCATTCATTCATTCATTCATTCATTCATTCATTCATTCTATTTATATCCCACCTATCTAGTCGATTAAGACCACTCTACAAATCTCTCAGTTACTGACGTTTGAAGTGCCAGTTAAAGAGGAAGGGGTGGACTCTTAGGAACTTGTAGCTCTTCTCCTCTATGGATCTCTGTACCTTTGCTGTGTAGCAAAAGAGAATTTGACCAGAAATTCAAACATATTTTAACTTCCCACATAGGAAACATACAAGGTATTTGGCTTTGTTGATCCCCTAAGATAATCATTAGAATCCTGCTTCTATGGCTTTAAGGGCGGCACGGGTAAATCTGGAAACCTAAACAGGGGAATGCCTCAGACAATTTTGTAAATGTGGAGACAAACCTAATATTATGCTGGTAGTGGCACTGGAAGTTTGTTCTCCTGCTTGCAGCCCACGCCAGCACTGAAACCTGCTCCCAACTATTGAGGGTGCAGAGGAGGGGGATCGCTCCTCCTGCCAGTGTTGCCAAACATGCCACTGGATATTAACCTACAGATATTTTGGGTTACTGGGGATCATTATTATGACCACTTTCTGCTCTCAGTTTAACCACCTAGTGCAAAGAAAGGACAGCAGCGATGAAAACAGTGGAACAGATGAACACTCTCATCATCAAGTCTGTGAGCTGGAATGAATGACTCTATGGAGCTAATTCTTTTAGAACCTATATAGATCTATGCCTTAAAAGAGATCTATCAGACCTACAAACAATAAAGTAGCAAGAGTATATGTTACTCCCGCCATATAGAGTACTGTATATGTTAATAATGATACAATGATCAACTCTTTAATATGTTGCTCTTTAATTGTTTTATTTTTCTTTGAACTAAGAGAGGTGTTTTATCTGGAAGATACTCAAGATTTAGAGCTGCAGCTTGGAACAACCACTTTAATGTTGTTGTCCTACTGTAATTTTTCCTCAGTTCCCAATGCTATGAATGATGAAGCAGGCACACAGCAGGCAGGACTCTCAAACATTTGCCACAAATATGAAGTAAAAACCAGACAGATCCATGAAGAACCAGCTGATAATGAATACAGACGGTGAGCCTGAAGTCCCAAGTACACTGACCTGTAAGTCAGTTTTAGTAAACTCACTGATGCTTATTTCTGAATAACTAGCACCAGACGATACATATAAAATAGGCTCAAGCAGTCCATGTTTTTTTCATAACACAGTTATGCAAATCCCTTCAGTCAGACTGGAGCAGCTGCAGTCTAAACCTATAAATGTTTTTTTCTGAAACAGGTTCCCCTTATTTCCAGGTAAGTATACATAGGATTTCAGTTCTAAACAAGTTACTATTTTATTCCTGCTGAAGCTAGTGAGAGATCATGTAGATTTCTAAGCGTGCTTATTCCCAGAGAAGTCCCACTACCTAGTTAAGAGACTGCAGCTTTAACAGTGCAAAATGGATTGCAGATCCTTGATGCAAACTCAGCGTTTCTTACCTCAAAGAGTCGCTGATCAGCGTCATCGAATGGTGTCCCATCAAGCCGGTTTAACACTTGAGCTACCCCTTTGGATGGAATCAGCAAACACAGTCCATGTTCACAGGCATTTAAAAAGTTTTCTCCATATTTTATAATTAGAAATTGATATGTATGTACAGACATATAACACATTTATGCAGAAGTACACAAGTACAATAAACATAACAAGAAATGCCACAGAACACAACCTGTAATTCATAAAACTTGGAAGATTAGATACAACAGATAATCCCAACTAGAACAAATACATTAATCAATGTAATTTACATTAACGTTGATTTAACCAGTCCTGTTCACTCAGTGAGTCTTTATTAATTGGGACTAACTACTGGATGTAGCCCAAAGCATTATTAAAAACCAAGAGTCCTTAGGCTGCACTGTTTATCAGCAAAACAAAATGTTCCCACAGTGCCTTTCAATCTAATTTCTCTTTCCATCTTTTCTATTATCTCACGTGCTTTGCACCTATTTTTGAACGCAAGGCATGGTTTGACCTTTTTTCTTTTTTTTAAATTTTATTCTGCATGCAGTATTTACATTTATTTTTAGTACAGAATTGCTACAACTGCCACGAATAAAAATTAAACACCATGCATGCAATAGGCTAATAATAAACATGTTGTTTCCCACTTTGTGTAAATTGACCTGCAGAATTTTGATACTCATATCACTTCTACCAATTTTATACTGATATGAATCATACTAAAGTATAATTTTCAAAACTACAGGAGGACCACATCCTGTGTGCGGAAACATAGTGTAATGTATCAAGCAAAAAATAAAATAAAATAAAGAAGATGAAAACGTTGTTGTACTATAAAGAATAACTGCTTCATTTTAATGTGAGTTTTCATGGACAAGTCCACTTCCTCAGACATAAGAGTACAGTAGGAACCCCTTATCTACAAGATCAGTATCTGTGGGTTCACTTGTCCACTTGCTGAAAATACTAAATAAACCCAGAAATATCTACTTATATGTATTTCCAGTGTGTATTTACCAGAACTGGCCATTGGAAGGAGCCAGAGACCATGCAACGTACAGTGGTGCCCCGCTTGACGACGATAATCCATTCCAGGAAAAATGACGTTAAGTGAAATTGTCGTCAAGCGGGAAAACCCATTGGAATGCATTGAAAACCGGTTAATGCGTTCCAATGGGGAAATACCTCATCGTCCAGCGAAGATCACCCATAGAGAACCGCCAATCAGCTGTTTAAAATCGCTGTCCTGAAGCAGGGGTCCAGAAAACAGCCATTTTGCAAAGGGAGGGAAGTCATTTTGTGAAGGGAAGCCATGTTACAAAGCCGGAAAAAGCATTGTTTTGCGAACAAATGGTTCATGAAGCAGGCACCTAATCGATGTAAAGCGAAAAAAACCCATAGGAACCATCATTTTGCGATCGCTATAGCGATCGCAAAAACCTCATCATCAAATGATTTCATCATCAAGTGGGGTCGTCGTCAAGCGGGGCACCACTGTATAGTGTTCAACACTTCCACATTTTTCAGCAGCAAGGGCTTGAAACTAATACCCTGCAGATTCTGTGGTCCTACTGTATTTACTATAAAGTATTTACTGTAAACAGTACAAATGAGTGACAGCTTACCAATTATCTGGTGACTACTATTCCATATAGGGACACAGAGAACAGATCTTATATGGAAGCCAGATATCTGGTCAGCCTGCAAATAAGAACAAGATCTTTAGTGACTAACATAGCATAGGACTTAGCATTCGTCGAGCTGTTGAAACAATTAAAGGGTTGTACTCAGTGCTCTCCACAGGATGTCATCCATGGAGCAAATGATGTGAAGCCAGCAGAATGCAAAAGACAGGTAGGTAGGTATACAGCCAAGTGTGTTTTCTTCTGCTATTCCCAGGCTCGTTCTTCCTGGTTCTCTCTGTGAGATTCACAGCGGTCCACTTACATAAGGAGACAAAGAACTCCACTTTAATACAAAGCTACCTGGGAAACCACCCAAATGCACACAAAGATCAAAAGCAACGGTTTATGCACGTTGTGTGAAAGAAGTGAAGAATGAGCACAAGGTCAAAGAAGAAAACTTCGACCTAGGTGGAAGTGGCAATATATCAAGGCATGTAAGTCTTCATCAAATCATGAAGATTTGTTTCTTAAAGGATAGGTTGCTTACCTGTAACTATGTTTCCTCAAGGATTTGTTTCTTAAAGGATAGGTTGCTTACTATGTTTCCTTGAATGGTCATTCTTGCACTCACAAACATGGATTTTCTTGTGCCTGTGCAGCATGTTCCGGAACCTTCCTAGCAGAAATGGTTGAGTTTTTAAGGAAGCCTCACTCCTCTTCACCGATCCTATTCTCTGGTATCGCTCCAGTTTTAATTCAGCCGAAGGAGCAATGGCAGGGCGCCTTAGAGGAGGGCAGATTGTGTGAGTTCCACAGACAACCACTCGGAGAAACACAGATACAGGTAAGTGACCTGCCCTTCTTCTCATGATCTCTGTGCACGTAGTGTCACTGGAAAAAAACCGAGAGAGCACAAAATGGCCCTGCCAAAACTCTCATTCTGACATGCTCTTGGGTCAGTTCAACAGTGGGAGATGAAGGTGGACAGCTGTGCCCATGTGGCATTTTTGAGCTCTTACTGGTATTGTTTCAAACAGAATCAGCTGAATTAAAATACAACTACAGCCACTGCTGTCTTTAATAAAGCCTGTCAGGTTATACTTCTTGATTAAACTAGTTTCTATTTCAGTAGCATTTCATGCCTTTTCAAGTCAAACCATTTGGATGTTTGGTAAGATTGTGACATTTGTCCTTGTTGTAATTTGCCCTGAACGCTTGGTGGAAAGGTAAATAGCAAACGTCACAAAGGAAGAAGCAGAAGCATTGGTAACAGAACTTGACACTCCGGAGGGACAAAGGCATGTAGAAAAACAAGATGTGACAGCCAACACTGATGTACATTTCTTAGGCTTTTACTATTTTAATAAAAGATTATGGTGTTGGCTTATTAATATAGCCCCTTGCCTCCAAAAAAACATTTTTCCTGCTCCTTGAATTTGGGGATTAAATGCCTATGACAATGGGCTTAAAAATGAATAATGCCCTTTTTCGCATCTTCACATCATTCTTTCCCTGTGGAAATTAAGGCAGGGTGTTTTATCGATGCATATTTCAAGAGAGCATGAAGCAAATATGAATTAGCTGCACTGCACATTAAATCAAGCCTCGGCATATTCAAACAAAGAAACTTAGTGAACGCAGCACTGCACATTTTTACTTCTGCATATGTTCAGGCAGAAAATATTTAACAGCCATTAACAGTACTTTCTGAAAATCTGAATAAATTACATCCAGCACTTTCCCCTTTCATTGATACTGGGGCAGAATCCTGTTACAGAAATATGGAAGACAATGGCTCATGGGGGCAATTCTCCCCCCACAATCTCTACCTGCAGTGGCATGAGCTGGTGATCATCATCTTGAAAGCAACCAGGTCAAGCTTTTTCCCTTAGGGGGCAAAAATGAATGCACACACAACAGACCACTGCTGGCATATTTAAAAACAAAGAAGATTCTGCCCCAATACAGTGGTGCCCCACATAACGGGCGCCCCGTTTAACGACGAATCCGCATAGCGATTAAGTTTTTGCGATTGCAAAAGCGATCGCATTGCAATGTTTTAAATGGCTTTGTGATGATCGGTAAGCTGTTTCACTTCTTGATTTTCACATAGCAATGTTTTTAGAACACCTGATCGGCGGTTCCAAAATGGCCGCCGGGTAAAAAAAAAACACGCGCCTGCTGTGTTTTCACGCCCATTCCTCGCTTACCGGGCAGCGAAAATGGCGGCTGTATGGAGGATTTTCGCATAACGGTGAGTTTTTAGCCCATAGGAACACATTAAACGTGTTTTAAAATGCATTCCTATGAGCTTTTTTGTTCCGTATAGTGACGAATTCACATAGCGACGATTTTTCCGGAATGGATTATCATCGCTATGAGGGGCACACCACTGTAGTTTATTTTTAATATATGCTCCATTTTAAAAATAACCATTATGCTGTCTTGGGAGTTATTCCCTTCATAAGTTTCCTACAAACCAATGACATAATAAAGTACAACACCAGTTAGAATAACGCCATGTACACTGTTTTGAATTCTGTGGAGGAAGAAGGCAGTGCAGACAGCCAGATAATCAGGGCTGACTCTATTTCTACTCAGTGAGGAAGCCATTGCAGGTTGCTGGGGGGTAGCAGTGGCATTGCCCTGGTTGGTCTTCCTGAGCCTCTGGGAAGACAAAGCTGTGTCAAACATCCAGCCTAGCCTGTACTTTCTCAGCCAGCTGGCTGCCCGTCCATGTAGTTCACATCTGCATGTAGAAGAGGCACCACTATCTTTTCCTCTCCTTCAGTCACTGAAACTTCTTTGGGCCACCTTGATCAGTAGATACGGCCAAAATCCTGCTGCTTCATTGTGAATGTGGAAGGCAAATGGCATAAGCTGCAGTGGCTTCGCGCTGGGCAATTAAGGAGTCTCTGCTGGGATTTTCAGCTTGCTCACCTACACACTGGCTAGGCAAATGGCCAAAAATCCAAGCAGGGACTCATTCACTTGTGGGAGCCATGGCAAGTTACACTGTTTGCCTCCTGGGACTGCCCACAAAGCCACAGTTTTGGCCATTATCTAAGGCGGCCCAAGGACATTATGGTATCTCCCATATAATTCTGTAAATCTTTTCAAGCCTTGATTTCCCCTCCAAATTTTCTGTTTTTCACAACTAAGAAACAATGCAATTACCAACATAGTTATAACATGAACAATGGGAATGGTTGCAGTTATGGCATCCACTATCACACTTAGTTGTGAATTGGTAATGCTAAGTAGACAATGATGGCTGAAAAGCTGTGAGGTGAACACAAATGTTTGCAAACCGATTTGTCTCTATCATCCAGCTGTTTGACTGAACTCTTCTAGTTCTTACTGTGTCAGTTACTAACCCAGTAGAACAAAGTTAATTTATAAACAGGTTCTGTTTAGTATATGTTTTTTGAGTTTTCTCCTCCAAAGATAGCAGGATCATTCAGTCAACAAAACACTACATAAACGCTTTTGCAACCTGCATTGAGAGACTTAGTCCATTATTTCGAACACCAAAAGAAGGCACAGGTAAAAGATGTCTTACTTCTGCATCGAAGCGAGGATCTTGATAGGCATCGCTGATGTTCACCGGAAGGCCTGTGGAAGCTACCAATTCAGCAATGCTGTTATTTACTAGCCAATCTGAGTAAGATGATGAAGGTTTCTCCACACTGTCCTTGGAACTATAATAAAGGCAGAAAAGAGGAAATAAAAAGATATAGTCACCGTGCCTTGAAAGTTCATCTTCATCAGATTGGAAGGCATAACCCTGTAACAGAATTACAGTGGTGCCCCGCTTGATGACGTTAATCCGTTCCGTTAAAATCGCTGTTAACCGATACCGTCATCAAGCAAAAGAAAAAAAACCTTTGAAATGCATTGAAAACCGGTTCGATGCATTCCAAAGGGCGAAATACCTCATCGCAAAGCAAAGATCCTCCATAGGGGAAGCCATTTTTGATCATTGTCTTCCAGAAATAGGTCTAGAAAACAGCGGTGGCCATTTTGAAAACTCGACGATCAGCTGTTTTTGATGGTCGGGAAGCGAAAAATCGGTTCCCGAAGCAGCGAACCGATTGCCGTGAAGCGGATTTTCCCCTGTGGCGATCCCCTCTGAAGCCCCTATTCCCTCAGGTCTTCATAGGTTCTCACACTTCTTCTTTCTTCGCTGCCACCAGGTATTGCTGCTTCAATACCATTTAATCAAGGAGACAAGTGTGCTTTTAAAACTTAACTCAATTTATTACAGCAGGGAAGTTAACATATGATTACTATTCAATAGGTAAATGACAGGTTGCTAATCACTTGTATTTGTATCAGTCCTACTCTGAACTTAAAATTCTATTAACACTCTGTTCCATTCAGTGTTCTTACAGGCCTCTAACTCACTCTAAGTTCACTTTTAAGTTTCAGACTGTTTCTCACTCACAGAATCTCTCTTCATACTCCATACACCAGCCTTTATATCCAGCCCCCTCCCCTCTTGGCTCCACTTTCTGTCCTCTCATTGGCTCCTACTCCACTGTTCAGCTCTGATGGACAGGTGAGGGCAGGGCTGTTTGCTACATCCCCATTGAAACATCGTTTTGCGATCGCAATAGCGATTGCAAAAACCTCATCGTGAGGCGATTTCATCGTCTACCGGGGTGATCGTCAAGCGGGGCACCATTGTACCTAAAAAATTTCTGAGGAAATTACTGGCACTAGGTACAGAATAATAATCCTTTTATTTATTGCTTTGCTTCCAATATTTATATTTTTACAGAAAGGAAGGACATAGTGAAATGTACTCATTGAGGACCATTCAACAAATATGAGACACTGCTTCAGATCCATAACCAAATAAATTACTGATGTCACACTGACAGCCAAATTTACAAATTTGGTTAGCTACCTGGTTCTAATCCAAAATAGCCCAAAGGCTTCAATGAAAAAACCCAGATTTAGTACAAGAATGTTAGCTTAACCAATTTGCAGGTGAGGCTGAGCGTGAAGCTGTGAAGAATACATCCCAACAAATCCTCTATTCATCAGCAACATGGGAGAAAAATCTTAAGTCATGAGCTGTGAGGCAAATATGAGAAAATATCAAGATTATACAGCTCATGCTGAACATCAAAAGCAAAAAAAAGTAAAAAGAAAAAAAAGAACTGGTTTGAATAAAATACCATGTCTATCTCTTTCACAGCAGAGTATACTGGGGAAAAGAAGAAATGGCTCAATCAAACAAACAAAAACAGCTGGATCCATAAGGCACAGGGGAAAAAGAATAATTCTTTATTAACTGCACAGTTCCCCCATATGTTTATACAGAGATGTTCTGCTTTAAAAAAAAAGTCCATAAGCAAATTCAAGTAAGATTGCAATCCAAGACACATTCACCGGGCAGTTCAGTACAGTACTTGAAATCAGTGGAACTTACACCAGACTAGACGTCTATAAGATTTCCTTGAGTTGTTTAAAATTTAGCAAGAACGCAGGAAGCCGAAAAATTATCCTTCATTTTATTTTTAATAATAAAGAAGTTATATGGTACAGATTTTGATAGCAACATAAAGCTTAAATGTAAAGATGCAGAAATGAAAAATCTGGTTAAAATATTTATTTCACCAGCTTTATGAACATGAGGGGCAAGATCACAATTACTGATGCTGATAACTGTGATCTTGTAAAATCCATCACAAAGCAGTTAGAGATTTAAACAGCACAGCCCCAATTGTTATTTTATGAGAAGATGATTAAATCAGCACTAGATTATGTGTGGCAGGTTTTAGGAACAGTTAAATAAACACAAGTTGACAAAACAAGAAATCATTCAAGTGGAAAGTCTAAAAGTAGCCTACCTAAAATTTCAGCAAAATTATTTTTTCTTAGTACTAAGCTAGAGAAAGATATCATCTCTATGCTGAGGCAAAGCTCAATTCAGAGGCAGAAGACCTCTTACTGGGTGCCCCATCTGAGACACGGAGTCTGGGAGGATCGCTCCTTAATGGGAGGGCTCACAGCTTGTTTTTTTCCCCCCCTGTTAGATCTGGTTCCTTATCTTAGATGCCGAAGGGCCACACTGTTGGCTTTTAAGCAATCCTGTTTAGCCTGCACTGGCCCGCTTCAAATACAGTAATGGTTTTCCCAAGTCAAGCACGATTAGCCAATGAAATAAGTCATCCAGTTTGACAAGCTGCATAAACCAAAGGTTCATTCTGTCGTGGGTGGATGTTACAGTGGGAAAGCTTATGAAAGCTTCATCCTAGTTGGTCTGCAAATAGCTGAAGGCAGGTTGCAGAGCTGCCTACAAACAGTATGCAGAAAGGAAGGAAGGCATAACCATGAATGCTGCGCTGGAGGATTATAGGACCCAAAAAGGAACTTTCCCAGGCTTTGATATTCTGCTTAGACTGGCATTCCATAAAAAAAGTTTCATCCGCCAGAGGCTTCTGAAAGTTAGCTGGGGGCTGAAGCAGCCGACAGCAGTTGAACAAAACAGCAGCTGATGGAGTAGTGATGGTTAGGAAGCACTTCTACTGAGAAGAAGAAATGGAACTAAAACAGGGCAGGTGCCTCATTGGATGGCAATCGCTTTGTGAGAAACATAGGTTGTTAATGGAAAATCATAGCCGACAGTTCCAATTTGGTAGCAGCACTGCTGGCAGCAAATGTTGATATTCCAAGTTCTCACCCTGTCCCGAGAATGCCAAAGGCTTCCACCAGGGCAAAAGGGGCCCCTTAGGAGTCTTGCAAGTGACACCATATTGTCACTGGGAGAAAACAGCAATGACGTGAAGCAACAACTGATGAGGATGAAAGAAGAATATGCAAAAACAAGATTACAGTTGAATACAGTCGTGCCTCACTTTACAATTGCCCCGTATAACGACAAATCCGCTTAACGATGCCTTTTTTGGGATCGCAAAAGCGATAGCAAAATGATGCTTCCTATGGGCAAAATCCACTGTGCGATGATCGGTTCCCTGCTTCGGGAACCGATTTTTTGCATTACGACAATCAGCGAACAGCTGATCGCCAGGTTCCAAAATGGCCACTGGTTGAAGAAAATGCCCCCCCGCTGTTTTCTAGGACGGATCCCTCGCTAGACAGGCACCAAACATGGGCGCCATATGGAGGATCTTTGCTGAAAGGTGAGTTTTTAGCCCATTGGAACACATTAACCGGGTTTTAATGCGTTTCAATGGGTTTTTTATTTTCGCTTTATGATGTTTTCGCTCTACAGCAATTTCGCTGGAACGAATTAACATTGTTAAGCGAGGCACCACTGTATAAGCCAAAATAACAGCTACAGAAGCATTACACAACTTTAATGCTGACAGTGAAGAAATCAAAGATTTTCTATACCTTCATTCAATCATCAATCTTTTTATTTGCAAAATCTGAGCATGGTTGTTAATTACAGGACCGTTTGGTGATCATTACTTTATAGGATTTACCTAATCAGAAGCGACACAATAACACAACATACATCAACAAAAACAACAAAAACTGATGGGGGAAAAATCCACAAAAATGGCAAAATTTTCATTATTTCTCTACTTACATGAACCAGCAAAGCACTTGGTTGCTTTCAATTGTGTCTTTCTCCCCCTCCCCCCATTGTATCCCCCGAATAAACAAATAAAATAGGTTTGGCTGAGAGGAAAGGATTGGCTCAAGGACACCAAGGAAGCTGAGTGACTGAACAGGGATCCGAACACGGTTCTTCCTGTTCCATGTCCAGCCCTCTAAAGATACTGTTTTATGAGCTCTCTGAAATCACTGGTTACTACTATTCAAATTACGCCAAGGTTAAAAGCATATTCGTAAAAATAAACAACAATTTGTAAAAATGTGCAATAATCAATGCAACAGATAATGTGTTTAATTTGTGCAACAAGGAAATGTGCCTGTTAGATAAATGAGGCTCTCTAACTTGTATAATATGCAAATTACGCCATTCAGATTCAGAAAACCAGAATATGACAACACTAGGTTTAGGGGGGGGATGAGGGGAGGTCACTGTTTCCAGGCAAACTTCTTTGCCTCACTCCGGGGCAAAAAAGAGCCACTCACTGGTTCCCCCCACTACACTCAATTTACACTGGCATGCATAAGTAACAGCATTCTGGCCCATTGGGCCGCTATCTGTCAGCCCCATCATTGTGCAGGTAAGTATAATGCAGTCATATGAGACATAGGAATGAAATATAAATGCCGGGAACTAGCTATTCTCTATAATCTGACTTATATCTTGTAAGACTAAAAACCAGCACTACTCTTGTGCTATTCTTCTGTCCAGCAATCTAGTTAGCTGAGTGCTCCCATGCTGAATGTGGAAATGCACGGACACAAACAATTTAAAATAATAGTATTTTCAAAGCCAGGAGGAAAAACAAGAAAAATCAAAGCAAATTCATAAAACAGGGGAATGGGCAGACAAGGAATAGTCCAATGGCATCTTAGCAGTGGAAGATACAGTATGTGGACCCTGGATCGTTGCCTGGCTGTGATTATGGGTTAGACAAGGGCTAGCAGGTTGAAACTGAATCCAGGTAAGATGAAGGTCCTGCTGTTAGGAGGGACCCTTAATCAACTTGGTGGCAGTCTGCCTGGTCTTGATGGGATCATCACACTCCCCCTGAAGGATCAGGTGTGTCGCCTGCGTGTGCTGTTGGACCTGGCCCTCTCAATGGACAACCAGACCTCAGCTGTGGCCATGTCTGCCTTTTGCCAGCTGAGGGGAATCACACATCTTTGCCCCAATCTCGACAGGAAGTCCCTTACAGCTTTGGTCCGTGCAAGATCTCAGATGTGGCCAAGTCCGCCTTTTGCCAGCTGAGGGGAATCACACATCTTTGCCCCAATCTCGACAGGAAGTCCCTTATACCTTTGGTCCGTGCACTTGTAATCTCAAAAATAGACTCCTGCAACACTCTCTATGTGGGGCTGCCCCTGAAGACAGTTCGGAAGCTGCAGCAGGTGCAAAACACGGCTGCCATGTTGGCCTCTGGGAGATCTCTTTATGACCATGTAACCCCTATCCTGGCTTGTTTGCACTGGCTGCCTGTTTGCTTCCGGGCCAAGCTCAAGGTGCTTATGCTAACTTTTAAAGCCCATAATGGTTTAGGACCTTGTTAGCTGGCTGAGCACCTCTCCCTCAAAACACCAACCTGTCCCACCCATGCCTCCCATATCGGTAGGCTCCAGGCAGCCACCCTGAGGGAGGCCCAGAAATCAGTCACTCATAACCAGGCCCTCTCTATGGTGGCTACTTCACTTTGGAACACAATCCCATCAGAAGTACAACAGGCCCCAATCATGCCACATTTGTATTATTACATCCCACAAGGCAGGAACAAAACCAACATGTGTCATTTGGTGGAAGCATCTTCTCTGTTACAACGTATTGTGATTTACATGCAGGATGGAGGCAACACCCTTGGCAAAGAAGTCGACTTGCAATTTTTCTTAGTCCATGAAATCAACAATTATTCGTTAAAGCAATGTATCACTTGCAATGCAAAATGTAAAATCTAACCTATTCTCTATATCTGCACTGCATTTCGGAGACATCAACTCGAAGGATTTGGTAAATTTCACCACCTGTTATAATGAAAGAATAAAGAAAATGTAGTGAATTTTAGATCTTTCATGCAACAATAGACAATGCATGTTCAGGAGATAAACAGCCTAAGAAAGATGGATTAATTTTGAAAGCTAGCTGTTTGTTCCATTTTTTAAGTGGCCTAATAAAGGTATCATCTGCTATTGCATGTCTTGTGTAAGGACCACACAGCCTTTTCTATTTTTTTTCAGGGAAAAACATCCTAGTTGTTAGAGCAGTATGACAATAGAATCACTTACTTTGGAAGGTGGCGAGTGCTCCAAAACACTGAAACCATTCAAGAGAAAGTCAGATACTGTATTCAGTTTTGGATTCCTGCATTGAGCAGGGGGTTAGACTTGATGGCCTTATAGGCCCCTTCCAACTTCACTGTTCTATGGTTCTATTATTCTATGATCATGAGAAATTTAATTCCACAGAACATTAGCATGACATTTATTCAGTCACTAATACAGAACAGGATTAGTAGGGAACTGCCTGCCCTTCTATAACATTATGTTCTTCTTCTAACTTTATACATGGGATTTTAGAATATGTGAGGAAAAACTGGATGCCATCTGTCATGATGATGGGATATGTAGTCAGAGAAATGTAAAATGGAGTCAGACAGATTCTGTGTGAAAATGATTTGAGAGACATTGAAATGTGTTTTTCTAAGTACCATGAGAGTGTTTTTCTGAAGACCGTTACAGCCTGGTTCGTGATAGCGATGAAGGCCAAATTGAGAGGCCCATGGAAGACTCAACATTCCAAGCTAATTGGAAAAGAGATAAACAACACCTGGACTCTCATGGGAAGGTGGTACAGCCTCTTGAGGCTAATTGGTTAACAGCTAGAATGGCCAAGAAGAAGGGAGAAGTTGGGTAGGTAGAAAAATGGACGATGGGTTATGTGAAGAAATCTGAATCTGAATGCTGAATGGAGATTCAACTGCTGTTCTGATCTGGATTTGAGAGGATGTAACTAAGGAGAAAGAAGCAGGTGGGGCTAGCCCACTATAGTCCACCTTAGTTAGCTTAGTAGTTTCATTATTTTTAATGGGAAATAGTTATTTTATTTAACTGCAATGATCTTTGAATATGTTCTTGATGCTAACGCTTGTGCAATATAAACTGGTTCTAACGAAACTCTATTCTTCTAATAAAAATTAATTACAAAAATTCTACAAAAGGACTGATCTCTTGAACAGCAGGGTCTGGCTAAATCCAGAAGGTGAAGAGGGCCACAAACTAGATATCTTTAAGAGTCCTACCTGAGTTTTAGTGAGTTCTAAGGAATCACAAAGCCCATGTCTCTGTACTTGCAAAGTACTGGTTAAGAGTAAAGTGTTCATTTAAGGTCAGACTTGTTCAAAGGGCTTATGCTACGCACTGCTGAGGTCCTGGGACTTGCCCCAGCGCAAAGGTGGTAGGAAAGAGACCTGTTGGACTCTCTGACCGAGTGTAACTTGCCCCTTAGGGGGATCTAGTGCACCACACCATCTACATTTCGAAGATCTGAAGCAGCAGGGTTGCCCTCTATTAGGGACTTTTGAGAGATAGTCCAGGTCACACTAAAACCATGTTGTCATCACTTAACAACTCAACCCTAGAGCAATGAAAGTGTAAAAAAAAAACCCAAAAGAGGTATCTATTTTTTAAAAGGGTCATCCACTACAAATTTGTCTTTGTGTGAATGAAAAGACCAGCTTTTTTGTCAGTAGCAGTATGAGCAACAAAGAACAGAAGAAAACCTCATTTGTTTTTCACCCAAAAAAGTATTGTAAGCAAAAAAGTACTTTTGTGCAAAATATGCATTTTTGTGCAAAATGTGTACTGTTGTGCTATCTTTTTTATTTTGCTTCAATATGCTCTTCTTCAGCAAAAGAAATTCCAAAACGGGGAAAATGCACAAAACCACTCATAATCTTGCTTATTAGGGAGAAAACACTTGGAAGTTTTTGTTCCTGTCTTCAGGTTGGTTAACAACACAGGTCTAGAAGGGGCACAGAAATTATTCAATATAAGGATATTAAAAGGTAACTGATCAACAATGTACCCTGGATTTAAATATATACATTCATGGCCAAAAATATTGGCACCCTTGCAATTCTGTCAGAAAACGCAACCCTTCTCTCAGAAAATTGTTAAAGTTGCAAATCTTTTGGTACTCATATGTTCATTTCCTTGGTTTGCGTTGGAAGAACACAAAAAACCAGAGAAGAAAAGTCAAATCTGATACAATCCCACAAAGAAACCCAAAACTCCACTGGCCAAAATTATTGGCACCCTTAACTTAATATTTGGTAGCACTCCCTTTGGAAAAAAATAACTAAAATCAATTACTACCTGTAACCATGGATGAGTTTCTTACACTCCTCTACTGGAATTTTGGACCACTCTTCTTTTGCAAACTGCTCCAGGGCCTTCCGATTTGAAGGATGCCTCCTCCCAACTGCTGTTTGGAGATCTCTCCACAGGTGTTCTATGGGATTCAGATCTGGACTCATTGAGTGTAAAGACTGTGTTCTTTTCTTTTAGTGCCTCATTTCTTTTTCTGTAAATGGTGCCATGATGTCCTTGACCAAAAAGTTCCACTTTTGTCGCATCTGACCATAATATGTTCTCCCAGAAGGATTGTGGTTTTGTCACATAAGTTTTGGCATACTCCAGTCTTGCTTTTTTATGCCTTTGTGTCAGCAGTGGTGTCTTCCTCAGTCTCCTACCATAGCATCTCTTTTCATTCAGATGGCGACAGATAGTGCGAGCTGACACTGTTGTACCCTGTGTCTGCAGATCAGCTTGAATTTGTTGGTAAATTAATCTGGGCAACTTTGCTCTTCCGTCCATGTCCAGGGAGGTTAGCTACAGTGCCATGGGCTGTAAACCTCTTGATGACATTGCGCACAGTATAGACACAGGAACATTAAGATCTCTGGAGATGTATTTGTAGCCTTGAGATTGTCAATGTTTTTCCACAATTTTTTCTCTCAAATACACAGACAACTCTTCACATTTCATTCTTTTCTCCATGCTCAGTGTCACACAAAACACAAAGGTTAAGTCATCTTTTCTGCATCTCAATTGGTTGCAGGTGTGATTACTATATTGCGCACAACTCTTCTGACAGGTGTGTCTAAATACAAATTAAAGGAGCATCACATGCTTGAAAAGCAATTGTTTCTTACAATTTAGACAGGGTGCCAATAATTTTGGCGAGTGCGTCTTTGGGTTTCTGTGTGGGATGGCATCAGATTTGACTTTTCTTCTCTGTTTTTTTGTGTTGTTCCAACGCAAACCAAATAAATGAACATGTGAGTACCAAAACATTTGCAACTGCAACAATTTTCTGAGAGAAGGGTTGCGTTTTCTGACAGAATTGCAAGGGTGCCAATATTTATGGCCATGGCTGTAATTCTCCTTGCCTAGAAATGGAACAACTTTTAAGGAACCATATCTGAAGGGTTTTTACTAGTTCTCACGCTAAAGAAACAGAATTAAGGACTAAACTGAAGTAATACAAAATCATAAATTCTGACAAAAGATTATAGATTGTCTACTTTTGACTCACTCAAACACTTCACAAAGATCGTTTGGGACCAAGCTGACAAACATGGCCATTATACTGTATAATCATTACTTTGTATCAGTAAGAAGGAGCCTCGTGGCGCAACTGCTATCCTGCAGCCAAAACTGTGCTCACGACCTGGGGTTCAATCCCAGGTAGCCGGCTCAAGGTTGACTCAGCCTTCTATCCTTCTGATGTTGGTAAAATAAATACCCAGCTCGCGGGGGGGGGGGGTTGTAGCCCGCAGAATTAACTTGTAAACCACCCAGAGAGTGCTTAAAGAGCTATGGGGTGGTATATAAGCAGCACACTTAGCTTTAAGAACAGCCTACAAACAGCATACGCTCTAACTTAACTCGATTGTCATTAATTCACTGTAATCAGTAACTCCAAAGTACAATGAGGCCACTACAAGAGATATCAGGAATCTGGGCACTGGTCAACTGCTTATCATTAAATTCTGTTTCTAAAAGACAGTCACTTAAATTCTGTCTCATAATTTACTCCTGCAGAAAGGTGATGACATCATCAGCAAATGGTGATTTTCGATATTTAAAAAGCTTCCTACGTCTTTCCTATGGTTTTCCCAACTCCAGTGTAATCCCTTCCATCACATGAAGGCTGTGGGATGGAAATCTTTAATTATGAAAAATCCCCCCTTGCTTGTAACATCATCTGGTGGTGATTTTGTTAAGAGTTTTATTTGCAACCTCGCTTACTGTCTGTACTTCGTGTGACTGGGAGGGACTTTCTGAGCTGGGGTGATTATCTATTTATCTAGCATTAAGTGATTGTTCCTTCCAGCCTCTGATTTCAAAGAGAACCCCACCTATCTGCTGAGTGCTCTCTACCTCTCCTATTTAGCTTTGTTGGTGTCTGTTTGCTGTTGATCTCTTCAGTTGATTGCTAAGTATATGTACAGTAAAGAAAGAAGTATACACAAACTTATAATTTCAAGCAACTATAAGTAAAAATATTTTTAATTCTGTCTCCTACAAATGTCTCAGAGTGAGTTATTGAGCCTTTAAGTGCTTGATAATGAGAAATAATAATTTAATGAGAAAATTAATGAGAAAGGGGTGGACTCTTAGGAACTTGTAGTTATTCTTCTCTGTGAGTCTCTGTACTTCTACTGCACAGAAATAGAATTTTACCAGAAATTCAAAATGTTGCAACAGAAATTTTGGTAATTCAAGACTTCCTCCTTCTGTCCTCAGGCCTTCTGTTAGCACAACAGGTTTTCAGCCAACGTCAGTTTGCCCCACTGTGTGTTTTCTGAGGCAAATCAAAAAACACCCACACACCCCAGAAACAACAGTGATAATTAATGATTTCAGTATCATCAACACAAGGAAGGAGTAGTGGAAGTGTGGTCTTCCAGTTGTTAAGACTACCACTCCAGTCATCCTTAGCCAGCATAGCCAATGGTGAT